ACAGGAAGGCATTTCTTTTCCAACACTCCCGTGAGCAGAGCACCTGGGTTTTACCAACTGGAAAATATGGGGCAGGCATGAGCTGCAGAATGCTCCACCAGTGAGGCCCAGGTGGGATTTTTCAGGGTACCCACATGATGCCTGTTCAAATCCCAGCTTCCCTAACCTCAGCCAGAGCTGTTTGCAGACTCAGCACTTCAGTGTGTTCAGAATATGAGAAACATGGAACCGATGGCTCTCAGATAAAAAATGTCAGTGGTTTAAGGAGGCGAGAGCTCCTTTGCTGATGCTGTGCTGGAGCAGGGCTCTGCTGCACTGTGAGCCAGAGTGAAAGAACAGAGCAATGCTGATATGGGCAAAGGGATCGACTTCTGTCCATTCAAAGGGACTGGAATTTGTGAATTTTTCAGCAAAAAATCTGTTTTCTTACCTTAGCCTTTCCCTGTAACAGTTCTACTCTGCTTTCTCTTAATCTCTTATGAATTTTTCACCTTTTACTAACAATTTCAGTGGAGGACGTTTCTCACTTTCAACTCAAGCAATCTTAACCATTCCTTTGGCACAAGTAGAAAGAGGCAAGAGCAAGACAGAGACTCAGTAAGAGGACAAGCTCCCTATGCCACTGCCAGCATCAGAGGGAGCCCCACTCAAATGGTTCTCAGTGAGCGCACTGGGAGCAGAACTCGCTGGTCACTAAACAGCTTAGAAAAGGACAATATCAAGAGGAAAGAAAGGGCATGAACCTTCACTGCTGCCTGACAGCCCCTTTCTGCACTGGGCTCTCCTGCTCTGTGCCCACTTAACCCACCCTTTGTGTCCAGCACGGGCTCTCCTGAGCCTCTCTCAAGCACATCTAAGTGGCAGTGCTCTCTTCTCCAGCAGCTTCTGTAGGCAGCACAGCGTTCTCTCTCACCCTGCTAGAAATTCATGGGCCTGCTGGCTTGTCACGCCAGAGAACATCCAGCATTTTCAGCAAGGCTTTTAATTCATTAGCTCACATAGGAAAATATTCTAACCTTCCTGCCCTCCCCGGCTGAGTCATTGACGCTTTCCTATCTCGCCGCAGACACATCACCTTCAGGATAATAATTGCTTAGCACGCGGATAACAGGGGACATTATCTTTCTGAACCGGGTGTTTGTTTGGGATCACAGGGTCTTCCTGTGACGAGGACTGCAGGACACATTGGGGTTACTGTTTAAAACAAGTCCTGACCTCCCCTTGCAGGCTGTGGGAAACCCTGTGGGGTCCCTGGGCTTGCTCTCAAGGGGAACTGGGGGAAGGGGTCAGAGGGAAGGGGCTGAAGGGTTCTGGGAAGGATTGGATGAGCTGTGGTGGGAGGGAGGGAGCAAGGGAGAATAACCATAAAAAAAATAAAGAGCTGTCTAAGAAGTAAAGACAGTGCTAAAAAGAACACCCTCGAGGCATTTAGTTTTCATGTCTTACCTCTCTACAGACTCAGTGCATAGGCCAGAGGTCTTTTCAGGGATCTGAGCTATTTGGGGACTTGAGATTTGGCCAAAGGCTCCTTTGGATACAGAGGGAGCAGAAGGTTCTAAACTTGTTGTCTGCAGCTGTGACCACCCCCTCTCACTGGTGAGGACACACTGGGAGGGAACAGGGTTGCCCAGAGCAGAGTTAGGAGCCCCAGAAATCACCCCAAACCTTCAGAGATTATCACCACAAAGATAGGTTCAGCGTTATTTTGTAGCAACCACCTACTCATAGATGAAACACAGCACCCCAACTGCCCTTGCCCATGCACAGAAGGCTCAGCAAAGACTTGAGGGCTCCAGCCTAAACATCACATTCATGGGAGTCTCTCAGGAAGGCGGGAGAGCCTGACTCCTGGGAGGGCAGTGGCCATAGTTCCATAGCAAGGAACTGAAGGCCCCATCACTGGAACACGTTGCCCAGAGGCTGTGGATGCCCCATCCCCACAACTGCTCAAGTCCAGGCTGGATGGTGCTCTGAGCAACCTGATCTAGCAGAACGTGTCCCTGTCCAAAGAAGCGGGGTTGGAACTGGATGATCTTTAAGGTTCCTTCCAACCCAAAGCAGACTATGATTCTATGACATGTTTATCTACAGGTGGCACTTGACCCAAGGGCTTCTGTAGGCAAGAGCTGGTGGAATTTAACCACGGGTCCAGCCAACCAGTTGGACTCACTTACAGGCACATAAGCACATTACACACAGAATCACAGAATACAGATATAGCTCTTTCTCTTGACCTCTTAAAATAAGCTGCACAAGCATTTGGGTTAGCAGAGTACCTTACCTCCAGCCTAAATCTTGGTTCTGTAACCAGGGCTGTTGCATCAGTTCTTGCTTCTTGCTCCAGGTGATCCTAATTCAGTTCCCACTGAACTGCCTGCATTGCCTATACTGTATGATGGCTGCTCTCTGGCAGCCTGACTGCATGGACAAAGCTCTTGACAGGTGCCTAAATTTGGGTACCAGCCCTATTTCTGACTCTGAGGTCCATCTCCTTTCTGTGCCTAAATTTCCTTCTCTGAAACATGGTGATTCCAACATAAACATTTCCTTCGTTAAGATCTTTCTGTCAGATGTGCTCTGCAAGTGTTGCAGGTTGTTGCTATTTCCAGGCCTATCATTATAACACATTTTGGCTGCACTAATTCCCTCAAACAGAAATTGTTCTGCCTGTAGTAGGCTGGGACAAAGCAGCCAATTAGTTGTCCCTTACACGTTTATTAACTCTGCAGCTTTCTTTCAATGAGTATGTGGAATCTGGTAATGTTTTAATATATTTTCATAAACTGTGGGCACAACATGTCCTGTTACAAGCTAATAACCGTGCCATATAATTAGTCCTGATTACACAGATATTTAGTATCATTTTACATATTCCAGTCCTTTCCTAGTGCCACTGCCTAGCCAAGGCATATTTAAAGCCACAGCCATCTCCCTTCTGTTTCCCAGCAGTTTGAAGCTGTTAACTGCAAACCTCTCCAAAAGGAAATCTTTCAAAGAACAATTTCATTTCACTGGCGTACATTTCATATATATACAGGCTCTGATCAAATGTCAGGTAACAAAGCCCAGGATACAATTAGAAGGCATTTGTCTACTTGCAGGGAAAAGATGGTATTTGAAAGCCATCAGGAAATTAACAACATGAATCTTTAAAAATCTATTCCTTAAACATCTGTTGGCATTGGGCTGAACATTTACCTTATTTAGGATTTTACTGTGAGGTAGCACTTCCCAAACAAAAGATCTCTCACCCCATTAGGCTCTGGTGGAGGAATGAGAAAAATTTGCTCTGTGCAACCCTGATTGTAGATGTGTATCTTTCCCTGCTGGCGTGGCTGTCTCTATAGAGATGGACATGGATATTTGATGAGATTAAAATGCTTCAGTTACCACTGTCAGTGGTTCTTTAATTTAAAATGAAGAAAGCAAACAAACATTCCTTTTGATGAGGTAACTGAATGATGCTACAGAAAAGCACTTTGCTGTCAGGTGGTAATTAGGTTCAGTAATAGTTGTGGGTTTTTAGCCTTGGAGGCTGTGGCCCCTGGGAGTCTGAGAGAAATGATACATTCAATTTCCGGAGGAGAGGAAGATGCTGGATGCTTTTCTCTGCTATCCCTGCAGGTCTCTGCAGATAAGAGCATTCAGAACTGCAGTGCTGACAATCCTCCTTGAGCCAGCCTAAACTGTGGTGTCAAGATCACAAACAGAAAAGGGAGATGGGCTCATAGCAGGGTGTTTAAACACCTAATGCAGGCAGCCTGGCTCTGACCATATATATAAGTTGCTGCCAGAATGGCTGCAATGAGAGGATTTTTAAAGGCTGCAGAAGAAGCTCCAGCAATTGCTCTCTGGTCTGGGCTGATATTTGTAACATCCATCTTACACATCACTAGAAAATCTTCAATAGGAAAGTGTTCCTTTGCAAACAAGTAACTGTTCCAACAGCTACTTTTTTAAGGGAGGAAAAAAGTGGGGAGAATGAGGGAGTGAATCTCAAGGCTCAGCTGCCTCCCTTGCCAATTTGGAATTGCCTTTTCCATTGCAAAACATAAATTATATTTGGTTGTGCTGTTAAGAGTTGAAACCCAAATGAAACATTGCAATTGACCCAAATGCATTTAAATGAAAATTTTGAGTTTGGGGTATTATTGCTGTTTTCTTAGAACAGAGGTAAATTCTGAATATGGTGTTTCCCATGAAACAGGTCTGGTTCCTGCTCTGCTTCTCTCTTCATGTTGCTACATGGCTTTTCCAGTTCAGGGAATGATGGTTCTCAACAAACAGTGAAGTGGTATCTCCCCTGCTCCTCACACAAGCTATGGGACACTGAAAGGACTCAGTTGGCCAACACCAGAGACGGGCCAGCAGTGCTTCAGGGAGTCAAGCTGAGGCATTTCATGCCTTTGTGCATTGCTCACCAGTGCCTTACTTCATATCCTACTTCCCTTTTGATTAACATCCACTGAGCTGGTTGTAAAACCAGAGTGAGGACTAACAGCGAGGGGAGATCCCCAGGTAAAATGTCCCAGCTGGACTGGCAGAAGGAACCTGCCACCTGGCTGCCAGCCCTGCAGCAGGTCCAAGGGGTGATGGAGAACTCTGCCTTTAGCAGAAGCTTGCCAGTAATTTCCCAAAGCACTGAAAAAGTTTTCACTTCCAGAATTAAAACTTTGTAAAATAAAGTGGGTCTGATTCACTCTCGGGAGATAAATGAAGGGTAAGTCCATTAAAGATACTGGTGTGAGATTGGTGTACAGCAGACAGAATTCAGGAAAGATATCGATATCTCCAAAATCCTCTGAATACTTTTTCAGACAGAAACCAGGTATCTTCCCTGAACATAAATGCTTTATTTCCAAATGGAATTTCAATAAAATAGGCACAGTTAGACTAGCACGCTTATTATAAAGCCGTAATGCAGTAGAACTGAAGTTTAGTCATGAAAGGTATTAAAAAAGCAGCCCTGCTAAAGCAAGAGAAATTGCTTTCTGACCTACCGAGTTTTAGGAGTAGTTCCTAGTGGTCTCTCCACCAAGGAGTTCAGCCTGTAGTAATCCAAGAACGTCCTGGCCACATTTCTTCCAAGCTTCATATCTGTGAGTTCTTAATTAAGGAACATTTTTTTAATCATTAAAAATAATAATAATAACAACAATAATATTAAAAGCAGCCTTTAAAGGTAAATTATTGCTATTTAATGCAAGAGCAAGTTTTACATTAACCATCCCACAGTGCTCAAGCTTCAGGCAAAATGACTTATGCAAGCAGATAAGGTGGGGGTCATCTTGTTTGCTTCTTGTTTTCACAGGCAGATGCTGCATAAAACCACAGACAGGAGGAAACAATCTCCCTTTCCCCCCCACGCCTGGTTGCAGATCCCTGTGGTTCTCATGAAATAATACACTAGACAAAAGGGGCCCTCCAATTTCCACATTCAGGGAAAATAATTACCTATAAATGCTTGGATACAGGCAGTATTTCTGTGCTTGTATCCAGGAAACGAGGTCAGCTACATCATGGTATGAACCAGCCATGGACCAGTCTGCTGAAGGTTGGGATTAAAGCTGTAGTCCCCCCCAAAACATTTGGCTCTGACCCCTTCTCTGTCCAGGGAGAATATGCTGTTCTTTACCTTTGTTGTATTCAGGATCTGAAAATGGTGATTTTAGCACTGAACTGGAAGGACAGTAGGTTACCTTAAGGAGTTCAGCTGTAACTCCAGTGTCTTCTCTCCTCACTAGCCATGATTTCTCCTTCAGTTTACCCTGAGCCCAGCATTAGGCAGGTGGTCACATCAGAGCTGCCACAGAGACCTCACATGCACAGGAGTCAGACCTTCCTGAAGACTCAAGTGCCTAAAAAGAAGCTGAATAACCTGTGAATGCATTGAAAAATAATATCCTAGACAACATGTACATAGGGTGACTGTGCTGCTTCTGTGAAATGTCAGCACTAAGTCTGCTTGTTACAGAGCAGCATCTCCTTATCTACAGGGTGGGAGATATGAAGAGGATGCCATTATCCACATCTGTATTATGGGGGCTGAAGATTCCTTTATTTGCCTGTTTGGAACAGATGCCTACCCACACTACAATAACCCCACACTTCTTCAGGGCACTTCCCAAATGGTCACTGTGGTGGGCATCTCAGCAGTGCTGATGCAGCAGGTGAGGTGGGAACATAACCTGGGGAATCTAAAGAGACCTTTGCAATCCACACCCAGCAGTCCAGGAAAATAAACCATTGCTGGGTTGTTATGTGTGCGCGCGTGCATGTTCTGCTTTATCAATAGTTATCTGCTGATGTTTCCATTAGAGGAAAATTCCAGAAGTGCAGTGTCCCAGGGGCTTCCAGCAGCGCCTGTGAAGACGCTGGCTTCTAAATGAAGCTTTTATTACCCGCCCACTTACATTAGACACATCAAAACAAGTGAGCATGAGACATCAGGTTCAGGCATCACTGTGAGATCTCTGTTTACCACTTATTTATTTATTTATAAGGAAGGTCAAATTGACATGACAGTCTTTAGCTCTACTTCTGCAAAAAAGCCAGCCACCAGCTCTGCTAGTGCTGCAATGAGGTCCAGTTCTAGTGGCTAAGGATGACTCCTGATGCTGCTTTTCTCCTCAATGATCTTGTCCCGCTTTTCCAGTTCCCACTGCTGTGCCTGGTGATGGTTACACGGATCTGTCCCTTCTGTTTTGGGGTCTGTCCTGATACGCTCACTGCGATCCTAATACCATATGTGCTGCGGGCATCTATATCCTTCAGCCCAACAGCGCAGCACAGCCTGAACAGCTGGTGTTCCCGGCTGTTGTCTGTGTGGACAGGGAGAGCTGGTTGTGTGAATCAGCACCGGCTGTTCCCCGGCTGTGGCCGTGCCCAGCGAGCTCCCCTGCAGCCAGCGCCGGCGGGCGAGACCAACCCTACGTGCAGGAGACTTCAGCAAGTCGGAGACAGCCTAAACTTTATCAATTCGAGGGAGGGCAGTGTTGCTTTGGAAGTGTTTTGTGATTGCCACTGGAGTTTGGGGGTGGCTGGGGGTAGCTTGGTTTCTGCGGATGTGAACTCAAAGCAGTGGCGAAGGTTAAGAGTTCAGAGTAGTCTGAGGAAGCAAGAAAGAAGGGGAGAGGGCTGTCAGACACTTAAGGGATTGAGAAGACTAACGTGGCTTGATCTTGTAGTTTCTTTCATTTACTCACCACTTTAAAGACATGAAGTGGTAATTGGACTCAGTAAAGTCTCTAGGACATTTTGTCAGTGCCAGTCTCAGAAAGCTCCTCTGCCAGAAATGGCCCTGCTGCCCTTTTCTTTGCCTGTCTACACTGCTTGTGTTTGCACAGTGGGAAACACCTGGCCTGCTGTCCTGGGGGAGGAAGTCCTTAGGTGAGAGTGGGTGCAGCCGAGGAAGTGGCTTCACGAGCTCCTGCCTTACAACTCTGCCTTAACCCTAACCAGCAGGAATCCAATTCCACTGCTGAGCTCAGGTCTTGAGAACAGCTTTCTAAACCTAAGGATGGCTAACCACTGGAACAACCTGCATTAGCACATCTGGAAACCTCCAGACCAGCTGTCTTCAAGAACAGGTTAAACCCACAGCAAACATAAATGGTTTAGGTCTAACTGGTCCTGCATGGAGTTTTGGTAAGGAAGTGTAGAAGGGCCTCTAAGGCCACTTCACCCCATTTTTCTACGGTTCTGAACATACTTTGCAGCCCACATGGAGGCCTGTTTGCTTTGTCAAAAAAGGTAAGGGTATTTTGCAGAGCATGGACATACGGATGGAAAGTGTGAAGAAACTGGAAATGCAAACCTGTGCCATGTGCAGCCACCAAAAAGTCACAAAATGGGAATAACTTGCAGTCAGCATTGATGGAAGGAGACTCAAACCAGCATGGGATAAAAAATGTGCATGTTCTAATGCTGGTCTCTCCAGCTGTCCTACCCCCTCTGCTCTGCCTGTCGCTCCCGCAAAGGATGAGCGGTTTCTGTCATGGAAATCAGGCATCTGATACATAAAAACAGAAGCAGCAGTGTCAGTCTCTCCCTGTGACTGTCCAGCCTGGGTGAGGGCTGGCATGATTCACTCAGCAAGCGCCTGCAGCACATGTGTGCAGGACCAATGGAGAAAAACAAATTAAAGCAATAACAGTTGCATTTATCTCAGGTGCATGGAAGACCCAAACTCCAGTTTGGCTTACAGTGTATCCTGAGCACATAAATAACAGCAACTGCAACCAGAACCCACTTTTGCTACGTGGTTTGGTTTGTTGGTTGGTTTTTAACCAGCTTCCTTTCTGCAATCACGCATACTGTGTGCCCACAGGAACTCCCTTCCTAGCTTGAACTGCACTTGGCAGAAGGATATTTCCCAGCTATTCCCATCACGGGAGCTCAGCTCATACGAGACAGTCAAAATCTACTTGGGAGAGTCATGGTGGAAACATGGGTGCATCTGGGTGTATCTTCACTTTCACTAGTGTCTGCCGTGCCCTTTTGTCTCCCTTCCTCCTCCATAGACTTGTTCCTCCATGCTCCATATTTTTATCTGGAAGTGGAAACCGGTGTGCCCAATGTCCCTCTTGCAAACGCCCTTCTCACAGCATTCAAGCTTTGAATGGCATGAGCAGATCTGGGGAGATTTCAGGACATTCTGTTTATGCACAACTTTGCCAAATTTCACAGATGTTAGGAAGTTCAAGAATTGTGATGGGTTCTCTGCAAAATCCCGGGTATTTATGATCCACACCATGCCCCACAGCCCAAAGCTTTCAACCCTGGTAAGAAAAGAGGACACAGGAGTGGGAACTCTCATAAGGCATTACTAGTTTTCAACTGACACGATTCATTGATCCTATTGTGAACAGTCTACTTAAGCTCGAGCCTCTGGAAGCGCAGACACAGCCTTGTTCTGTCTGTGCATGGAGGCAATAAAAATCTCAATTTGGAAACCAGTTAGCAGTACAAGTCATTAGGGGAGGTACTAAATGTTGCTGCTTTAATAGCTCACTGATCCTTTAATAATGTCACTGCTGCAGAGCATGGTGGCACCATTCGCTCGCTTTTGTTTTGCTTTTTGAAATTCAGGGTCATTCCACTTTCAAGTGAGTGGATTATCTCTCTTTCCCCCTTCTGCCAGACACTGCAAACTGCTTTAAATAATTAGGAAAAGGATGGCTCCTTCAAATTCACCATCTCATTTTCATAAGGTCCAGTGTCATTGCTTTGGAAAAGCAAGAGAAGCCGTGATGGTGGTAAGGATTTGACAAGGGCAAAACAGTTAGCAGCCCCCACTCATCTTTGATAAGTCCTGTGGGGTCTCTGCCAAGCAGATTGGATCTCTGGTTTTATGTCTCATCTAGAGGACGGCACCTCCATCAATTTGAAACACTGTGCTGCGTTATTAGCTTATGGAATTCATCCAAGTTTAGTCCTAAGGAGGATTTGAAATCATGACCATTCAATCCAGAGGCACCACTGACTAGACCCACACAAGTCTTTTGTTTCAGACAAACAGCTTTAAGTTATCCTAAAGACAGACAGAGGGGAAGGGAAAAAAAAAAAGAAAGGGAGAAAGAGGGGAAGGAAAATGAGAACAAAGAGAAAGATGAATCTTTTTAATAGCTCAAATTAAAAACCAGAAGAAGCTCTTTGTTTGACACAACTGAATTCTACAGCAAATCTCAGTCCACCACAACAACAATCCTGTTATTTATGAAAAGAGGGTTATTTTGTGTGAGAGTCCCAGATGACTGTGGTCAGCGAGCATACTGTCAGCTTTGTACAATCTCAAGAGAAATATGGATGAGGTTTTCTCATCTGTGTATAACAGCTTCCATCAATGGATCAAACCCCTTCCTGACTTGAACAAGAGCTCTAATGGAAAATGGCATTACACGGCTTTAAACCACCATGTTTTATCATGCCCAGCCTGATCAGAGCTAGTCCTCTATTTTAGTAGAGCTGTTTTCACCAGTTACTTACTTATTTTGTTTCACAGTGCTGACACTGCTCTCTAATAAACAGGTGCTGCCCATATCACATCTCACTGGGGGGCCCACTCCAAGCAAAGTGTGACTGAGGCAATGTAGAGA